TAAAAACTCCCTGCAGATTAGACGGTGCCGTTTGGGGAGAAAGCAAGTCTAATGTCTTGTGACAATGAATCAATATGGATTTGATTAAAGCTTTCAGAAAGGCATCTCAAAGCATCTGCACTGCGTGATGCATTCAGGGTTAAGCCGATGGCTTTTTATATCCCTCCGTCCTGCGCTCTCCCCGGGAGATGGCAGGAATGGATTTGACGCCATCTCGGAAAACTCCAAGATCAGCACTTTAAGAAAGAATTGCGCCATGCGCAGAGCAGTAATTCAGAACGTCCCGAAAGAAACATTGTACCAGGTAAGTGGGTGTAGGTTTGCAGAATAAACCTATAAATAAGTATAAATAAGTTAGGGTTTAGGGCCATTACCTATGGTTTTCCCAGTAGTGATGTATGGAAGTCAGAGCTAGACCATAAAGAAGGCTGATCGCCGAAGATTTGATGCTTTTGAATTATGGTGCTGGAGGAGACTCTTGAGAGTCCCATGGACTGCAAGAAGATCAAATCTATCCATTCTTAAGGAAATCATTCCTGAGTGCTCACTGGAAGGACAGATCATGAAGCTGAGGGTCCAGTACTTTGGCCACCTCATGAGAAGAGAAGACTCCCTGAAAAAGACCCTGATGTTGGGAAAGATGGAGGGCACAAGGAGAAGGGGACGACAGAGGACGAAATGGTTGGACAGTGTTCTTGAAGCTCCCAGCATGAGTTTGACCAAACTGCGGGAGGCAGTGGAAGATAGGAGTGCCTGGCATGCTCAGGTCCAAGGGGTCATGAAGAGTCGGACACAACTAAATGACCAAACAACAACAACAAAGGGCCATTACCTGATAGGGAACCAACATGTATTAGGGACATTATATAGGGAGTGGCATCTGCTTCTTTTTTTGCATTTATAATTGAATTTATCAAATTTACACTTTCTGAAACAAGAACCAAAACACAGCTATCTTTTGAAATTTCTGCTTATCTGAATCGTGTGATGTAGTTCTCTGATCAGAGTTTACAAAAACGCATATATTGGGGAAGGTGTGCATGAAAATGAACCTATTTGTGAAAAGAACATAAAAATGCACTATGTTTGGGGAAATTGCTTGCAAAAATGTGTGCATTAGCAAAAAGTGTATATAAAATGGGCTTGATGGAACAATGGTCTAATTCTGTGTAGGGCATACTCACATGTTCATAACTTGCAGTAAAGAGGGTCAGAAGTTGCAGAACCACAGATATCTCTGAGTGAGCAACTGGTGGAAGTGAAACAGTTTGTAATTTAAGGGTTAAATCTGTTATCAGTATGTCAGCTAGGCAGGTTATACATGGAGGTGTCACTTAGCAAGCAGAGTTGTATGATCGCTAATTGGCTGTGTAGTTCTGAGGGAGTTCTCCCCTGTATACTTCGTTGAATGTCTCGCTGCTCTGTACAAGGACTGAAGTCAGCAAGACAAAACCTCTCACTCTGTTTCTCCTCAGATTATAGGCTCTTTACTATTCAGTTTCCTTAACAAAATATTATCAGGGTGTCTTCTTTCTCTGGACTATGCTTGCATTATTTATGTGACTGTGCTGACAGCGATTTGCTCCAACGAAGTTTGAGGACAGACTGCAACTTTTTAAAACTTCTGCCCACCGTCTCCACCTCCTTTGCCTGAAGGGAGGCATTCCTCCTCTGTTCCGCCTCTCACTTGATGCGATCGCTGAGCCAGTGGCCTGGTGAGCTATTGAGGAAGGACTTTGGTTCCTCAGTCTTAAGGAAAGACGGCTGTTAGGGTACAGGTTCGGGTATGGGAGGTTCTTCTGAGCTGAAGTCTTGAGACCACATAACACCGGTCTTGAAAGACCTACATTGGCTCCCAGTGCCTTTCTGAGCAGAATTCAAAGTGTTGGTGCTGACCTTTAAAGCCCTAAACAGCCTCGGTCCAGTATACCTGAAGGAGTGTCTCCACCCTCAGCTCTGAGGGCCTTCTGGTGATTCCCTCACTGCGAGAAGCGAAGTTACAGGGAACCAGGCAGAGGGCCTTCTTGGTAGTGGCACCTGCCCTGTGGAACACCCTCCCTTCAGATGTCAAGGAGATAAACAACTATCTGACGTTTAGAAGACATCTGAAGGCAGCCCTGTTTAGGGAAGTTTTTAATGACTGATGTTTTAATGTACTTTTAATCTTTTGTTGGAAGCCACCCAGAATTGCTGGGGAGACCCAGCCAGATGGGTGGGATATAAATAATAAATTACTATTATTGACATTAACTTAGTTGTGGTTCCTGCAGTGCAGGGGGTTGGACTAGATGACCATTGCAACTCTCCACTTCTGTGTGAACGGCCCAAAAGACCACACAAGTCATATTATTATGGAAAAAAATGGTTTATAAAACATGATCAACATCCAACCTGGAAATCCACCTTTTTAAATATGGTACATTCATCTTCTAAAACAATACTTCATATACAGCTTGTTTATGATATATTTCCACCATATAACATTTTTTTTTAAAAAATGAGCTGAATTAGGAAATTACATCCATGAGACCTCACAACCTATACAGACGAACCTAAGAAACAATCTTTAAAAATCCACAGAATAAGAATGAAGGATGGGTCCAATATGAAACACCACATATGTGCAGCTTATAAATACACCTCCTCATTCCCTTTAGCTTGAAAATAGACAGTGTACAATCCATTCCTCTCTCTCTCTCTCTCTCTCTCTCTCTCTCTCCTTTGAGGATGGAAACAGATGAAAAGCTTCCTAACACTGCAATTCAGTCAGCATTAAAAGTTGGCCAACGACAATCTATGCAACAATTGTTGCTGGGCCAGCCAATGTAATACCATCCAGTTGTTTTGAACTACAACTCCCATCACCCCCAGCAAACATGCCCAGTGATCAGGGATGATGGGAACTGCAGTCCACAACAGCAGGAGGTCACCCCTGCCTTGCTCTGTCCCTGCTCAGTTGAGCTCCCCATTGCTCTACACCTGGTACCAGGGCCGTCTTACCCATAGGCACTAGGGGTGTGAGGCACCCAGGTGCCAGGCCCTCAGGGGCACCAGGCCGAGAGTCTGGGGCCCGAGAGTTGAGTCCGGGAAGAGACCGCCCATTGGCTGGAGTGCCACAGTGGGCTCCCCTGTTGCCGTGAGTTCGGGGGTGACCAATCCAGCAAGATGCTGAGGCGGCCGGCTTGCTCTGCCCTCCTGCACGCCTGGGATTGGGCAACCTGGGGGGGGGGGGAGGTGCCGGGCAGATCTTTGTACCCCGGCGCTGCATATGCTTAAGACAGCCCTGCCTGGTACACAGGGGCACTAATTTCAATTTCGTTAAAAAGAACCAAGTATTTTACTTGGGGAGAGGGTAAGGTTTGCAGCATGGTTCAAAGGCTGACTTTTGTCAGTATTTATTATTGTCATTATTAACCCCCAAACCTCACAAATAAACCCCAAACACACAACTTTTCAAAGGTCCATTTTAATAATTTTTGCGGGCCCGGGGCAGATTCATATCCACTATGTGTGAGCACTTGAGAAGGGGGGAAATCCTTTGGATGCCAATATTTCATACCTAGGAAATAGGCCCTGCTGAATCAGACCAATGGCCCATCAAGTCCAGGATCCTGTTCTCACAGCAGCCACCCAAATGTTTGTGGGAAATCGACAAGCAGGATAGGAGCACAAGGTCACTCACCCTTCCTGTGGTTTCCAGCAACTGGTATTCGGAAGCATTTTTAATTGAGTTTAGGGGAAAGATGGTTGGTGTGTGTGGATGTGTTAGAGCAGCCTTTCTCAACCTGTGGGTCCCAGTTGTTGTTGAACTACAGCTCCCATCACCCCTAGCTTGCAAGGCCAGAGCTCAGGGATGATGGGAGTTGTAGTCCAACAACATCTGGGGACCCACAGGTTGAGAACTGCTGCATTAGAGGTTGGGAAGGGAGGGCTTTTGGGGGGGCAGGGAGGCTAATGTGAAGCTGCCACTTGAAGAGGGAGCTGAAAAGCTCTTGTGCGTGAGTCAAGCAGCACCTCACACTGCTTCAAATCCTGCTCTGTACCAGAGATAGGGGTGTTCCTGAGAAATAATCTGAAACTCAAGCTCTGTGTAGGCACTGGGGGAAAAGGCACGAGGCCGCAAACTGGGGTGGGTACGTTGGCGCTGCAAACACAGGTCTCTGTGTCTTGCTTTTGTGTGTTGAGTGTGAAGGCCTGAAGGAGAACTGGGTTCGAATCTTGCACAACCCTAGTACCCAGTGGTGGGGAGGACCCTTCTAAGCATGTTCAACAGGACATACTTCAGAGTTCCTATTGGGGGTTCATGCTCATCATGCAAAGGCCAGGAGTGAAGGGGATGTTGGCATGGGCATGAACATTGGCCCTGCATCACCTACAACGGGGATCAACCTGAAGATGCTGTGGACCACAGCTCCCATCATCCCTGATGCTGTGCTTGATGGGGTGATGGGAACGTACTGTATTTTTTGCTCCATAAGACACACTTTTTCCTTCCTAAAAGGTAAAGGAAAATGTATGTGCGTCTTATGGAGCGAATGTGTGGTCCCTTCAGCCGAATTGCCCAGGGGCGAAAAGCAGATCATGCTTTTTTTTTTTTTTGAAAGCAAAAAACTGCTCCAGCTAAGGAAAAGACACTAAGGCAAACAAGAGGGAAGGGAGTGTTGAAAGGAAGCAGCTGATCGGCAAGCGATCGGGGCGGGTGATAAGGGACACTAGAGATAAAGGAGGCTGCCTGGGAGGGAGGAGGTAAAAGCTCATGGATCCTCAGGATTTTTGCATTGGGTCACCCCAAATTCACCATGAGATCATCTAGCACATCCATGGCTGCAGCCTGCACCAAAAAAATCACACACCCACTGTTGTTTAGGGCAACAATGGTGCAAAAACACGGATCCACATGGATTCTCAGGATTTTTGCATTGGGCTACCCCAAACTCACCGTCAAATCACATGTCTGTGGCCAAAGCATGAACCACAAAAATCATACATCCACTGTTTCGTTCAGTATATATTTTTTTCTTGTTTTCCTCCTCTAAAAACTAGGTGCGTCTTATGGTCAGGTGCGTCTTATGGAGTGAAAAATACGGCACTTCAAGTCATTTGCAGTGCACCAGTCAGGCTAGCCTTGCCCTGCTCAGTTGGTGCCCTCAAACACTCTTTTGAGCATCTGCGTAAGAACTAAGTTGGGGGAGCGAGTGGAAGAGCAGCTGCCCCCAGGAAATGACACCCTTGTTCTCCACCCCACCCCACAGATTCACCATATGGGATGCTGTGGTGCTGACTTCTCAGCAAGCAGGTCATCTGTTTCTACCCTTAATCTCAAACTGCGGCCATTCAAGTTAATAAATATGTACAACATTCTGGAGTTCAGTGAATATAAATAGCAAATATTTGTTCTGGTATTTCTCTGCACATCTGTTTGATTTCACTGGAAATCTTGGACGTCCTAAGATTCCAGATCAGGAGCTTAATGTAACAACAACAAAAATATTATTATTATTATTTTAAAATGATCTAGGATAGCTCTGAGCTATCCCAGTCGGACGTATAAATATAAATAAGCATAATATAGAAAAAACATTCCCCCTCCCAATCCACATACAAAAAATGTAATCATTATTGCTAGCAGCAAGTGGAGTATGAAATATTGGATAGCTAAAACTATGCGCGCCTCACTTTCACCAAATGGATCTGGTTTCCGAGCATTTCTAAGAAAAGCTTCTGGTATAATTTGTACATCGAGAGGCTGTGGAGGAACTTGACCACCTTCCGGAGGCCTTGGATCGTCGTCTTGGGGAAATGGTATGTTTTCAAATGCTTCAGCGCATACGTCAAGCCCTTGATGGTGTCTTGGTCTCTATTTTTTACTCTCCACAAGCTGAGAAGCTTGAGAATCGGCTCGGAAGATTTGCACAGCCTCAGAATGCGGTCGACTTCTTCCTTCCCCACTTTCTTCCCTGGCAAATTTTCCATCAGGATGCTGAGCTGCTCAAAGGTGATGTTGAGGTGGCCAATGTGTTTTGAGACACTGTTTTCGCAGTGGTCAATGCCTGCGAAAGACAAATAGAGAAGCTGGTTTGTTTCGTGGACTAACGGGATCGTAGAGTTAGAAGGGAGCCCAACCCTCTGCAATACAGGAATCTCAGCTAAAGCATCCATGACAGATGGCCATCCAACCTCTGCTTAAAAACCTCCAAGGAAGAAGAGTTCATAAATAAATGTGAGCTTGCTCAGTGTATGCATACACCGCTCTGCTTGTATACTGGTCTTACCTTGCTTAATGTTCTTGACCGCAATGTGGCCATTGTTCTGCTCCTTCCATAATTTCAGTAACTGAAAGGTCTGTTCCTGAGGACTGTGCCTTTGTTTGAGCCTTTCTGTAGTTTCTGTGTTGACCTTTATACCTGGCAGACTATCCCTTAGCATGTTCAGCCAGTTGGGCGTGAGTTTGGTTGGAACGGCAAACCTGAAGAATGCTTCCTCACATAAGGTCACATCTAAAGAAAAAGAAGAAGAAGCGTGTTGATCTTTCAAAGTCTGCCTGGTCTGGATCAGCCATCCAAACATTGCACCTGTGCCCTTTCGAAAAGTATAAAAAATCCCCAGTATTGCTCTACCAAGGCTGCAGTCCTCTGCATGCTTACTTGGATGTTAGCCCTACTGAACACAATGAGACTTCCTTCCTGGGTAAATAAGCCTGGATTCTGTGAAACTACACTGTGCTATTTATTCATTAAATTTATATGATACCTTTTTCCTCTAAGAACCTCAAGGTGGTGTAAATGGTTCCCTCTTTCCTCATTTAATCCCCACAACAACCCTGTGAGGTAGGCTCGGGTGAGAGATGGTCCATAGCTGTCAACTTTTCCCTTTCCTTGCGAGGAATCCTATTCGGAATAAGGGAATTTCCCTTAAAAAAAGGGAAACGTTGACAGCTATGATGGTGACTGGCCCAAGGGCACCCAGTGAGCTTCATGACATGGGGAGATTTGAACCCTGGTCTCTCACTGGTCCTGGTCCGACACTCTCATTAGTCTGCATAGAATCTTGGGCATGCACCCCCAAGCTTGTGGCATCATTCTGTAGAAAAAGACTGCTCAAGCGGCCCCAAACTTCCTCTTTGTTAAGTTAATGGCTCTCACGGTCAGGTGTATCTTTGCATGACTAAAGAGTACAAGCGACTGGTTGCTATGGAAACTACCAGCTGGAGGTACTTTCCAGAGCTGGAGTCAAGCAACGCCTAGGGGGCCCAAAGGTTCCCTACCATAAGCTAATGAAGTGCTTTCAGAAGTGTCACTCTGGATGAGGAACAGAGCTGCTACACTAGCTTCACAGCCAATTGCTGGATTGCTGTTGTTTACCAGAAAGGATGAGCGAGGCGAAAAGAGGATTAGACGAATTCATGGAGGAGAGGGCTTTTGATGGCTACTAGGCATGATGGCTGTGATCTGCCTCAGCAGTTGGAGGCAGGCATGCTTCTGAATATCAGTTGCTGGTATTCACCATAAGTAGGGGAGTCCTCTTTTGCTCAGGCCCTGCTTGAGGGTTTCCTAAAGGCACTGGGCTGGCCACTATTGGAACAGGATGTTGGACTAGATGGGCTGTTGGCTGGATCCAGCAGGCTCGTCTTATGTTCTTATGGTGGTGGGAAGGTTGGCGCAGTGCAAACACACTGGCAGAATCAATCCAGTGTTCCTGCCAACGTGTTTGCACCATTCCAACTTCAGCTTTTCTGCATTCGCTCGGGTTAAGCAATGGTGACCCACCTGCTGGGAAGTTCTGCCCCACCCAGCAAGCTACATGGAGAACAACTTCTATTTCACATCAGTCAGCTGAAAACTATTTGTTGCTTTGAAGCACAAAACTTAACTAGTAGAAATACAACTGGTAAACTGTCACATACCGATTCCACACTTCTGATCTGATCTGTCGCTTTTTTCTCCCTGGCAAACATTGTCACGCGTGGCGTCTCCCTTGCGCACCATTTTGAGACCCAGCGCGCTGCAGTTGGTGTGCTTTTGACAAGCTTCCTTGGATGACGTTTCATTGGAGAAATAGCCTTCTGGGCATCTCTTGCAAACCGTGTCACTTTCAGGGGTACCTTGGGACAAAAGAAAGAGACAATAAATACGCTTGGCAATCACTTTGTATACAGCACTTCATGGGCTTCTTATATATATGGTGAAAGGCAGCATGAAAGACTGAGCAGAAAAGCAATCAGATAAGTGCCTGATTTGTGTGTTCCCAGAGATTCTCTTTCAAAGGGGGAAGCTCATTTCCCAGGACAGCTTCGCCAATTAATGTTTTAAATCTCATCTGCTTTGTTTTTGTAAATGGCACATTCAGAAGTCTCACATGGGACAGTGCATGCCCCAAGGCACTGAGCCACTTTCAAACGTAGAACGCATTATTTATCGAACTGTAGAGCTGGAAGGGATCTTGAGGGTCATCTAGGCTAACCCCATGCAATGCAAGACAGTCCATCTTCCGAGGGAGAACAGCTCTTATTGCCAAAACGTACTTCCTAATGTGATTTCTTCAAGTCTAAAGCTCCCTACATATTTAAAACTAGCCCATTAGGCAGTTTTTAAATGGGGGATATTCAGATATGGAATCTGGACAAGCAAAAGGTTTACATGGAACTTGGTTGGCGCAACAGGACACCACATGCTGTGGGCAGGCACCCACCTTAGTTAAATGAACATGGGACTGGTGGGGAGCAGCAAAAAATAAACCTCAGAAATCCAACTCTGATATTCCAGAGCTGGTCCAAAGTCAACTCCACTCAGACAGTTGGATATAGTTGCTTGGCTACTGGGGTTGATTCCAATGGACCAGCCCAGCATATACCTGCCCTGAAGCCCCACCACATCAACACACGATGAGCTGCCATTTTATATTTCCCACAGTGACCCAGAGCAGGGGCAGCCCAAGACATTTCAGCACCTGAGGCAGCCCCTCTCCAGTGAAGATTAGGCGAGTGAAGGTCTGAGTCAGGAGCAAGGGTAGGAGGTGGGCTGCCAAGGAGGAGGCAGGGTCAGAGCTGGCCCAAGCGTGAGGTGAGGTGAGCACCTTGGGTGGTAGGATCCACAGGACCAGAAGATCCAGCCTGCAAGGAATGCAGTGGCAGCAACAGCTACGGTGCACTCCCTGGAGTCCAGATCTTCTGCCCCTGCCAGGGAGGGCACCAAGATATGGGTGGTATTTTTGCCCAAGGTCTTCTCAAACCTGGAGCAGAGCTGGCATTGCCCATGGACGATGGCATTTCTTTTCGCAAGCTTTGAAGGAATTCTTTCACCAGAGCACTGAAACCAGTGCATTGGATAATTCAATGAAATGCCTTCTTTCCCTTAAAATCTGGCTTGTCACGCTCACGTTCGATGTGGCATGCCAGCCATGTGTTATAACCTGCTGGGTGGCTTAATAAACCCAGCCTGTGCAGGCAATCTGGATTTAACTCAAATGAAGGGTTTATCAAACACCTGATGGTCTGTGGTTCGTGGCTGCAAATTGGACAGGGCTGATTTAAGCCCCTTCTGAGCGGCTTCCCATTCCGACATAAATGGCGATAGAATTAAAACAGGTGTTGCATTTTTCAAATCAAGCTGGCATTTTCTGCCTTTCCTATGTAAATGAAAGCTCTTCCTTGCACTTAGTTGATATAGATTTGAGCTAGAGTATGAAATTAGAGTTCTGTAGGTAAATTATGCTGCTGGATACACTTAAATGAGTTTCCAAAGACTTTAAAGGTAAGGAATAGCTCAGGAATGTGACACAGTGAAGAATATGCATAGATTCTCCTCTTTGGGCCTGGCTGGATTATTGTATTTGCCCTAAAAATATGATGCTAATATTTAATAAAAAATAATTCTAAGGAATGCATATTTGATTAAACTGCTGTTGTAAAGCAATCAACACAGAAGGTGTTGTGTATGGATGAAAATATTTTTAGGATCCTGGAGAGCAAGAAAGTTGGGGTTCTGTCCTTTACTAAAAGATCTACAATGATGAATTAAATGTGCAGTTAGGGAACAAATGCTGTCATGATTATTAAGGTGCATAGCTTCTCATAGAAAAGCAAGAATTGTGATCCATCCATATTCAACGCAACAGAAACTCTAGGTGTATGTCACACTGATTGCCAGTAAATTTCTAGCCTTAAATTCTAGTACTCACTAGAATAAATAAAGCTATAAATCAGTGGTCCCTCTGTGAGTTACCCTCTGTTCTATATTCCCTTGTCAACTGTTATGTTCAGGAGCTAGCAGCAGGGCCTTTTCAGAAGTGGCCCCACTTCTGTGAAATTTCTATGTCAGGGTAGTTCACAGCATTAGTCTGAATGCAGTCAATGGGTTGCATTCAATCTTCCAGGAATGGATCTAATGCTTGCATACTCCTTCCTTCCTATGCTCCTTCCTTCTACTCTTCAACTGAATGGCTTAACACATTAAGTCCTGGTTTGATCAAACCATAGTTTGCTGTTACAACCAGACTGGCAGATTATGGTTTCAGCAAGGCCTTTGAACTAGCATTGCTTACTAGAACAAAACCAGTTTGTAATCCTGGAATGGAGGGACTGCTTAAATAACAGCCTGAAGTTTTCTGCACAACAGGAAACAATGGATTGATCAAACCACACATGAGGGGGAGGGGAGATCAGATGTACACGGGTCTCTTTCCCAGTCCCCAAAATGAATGAATGTATTTTGGAAGAATGCATTACATGAGCTCATGTAAATATTTTTATATGTCCTGTTTGGCATGCTGAAAGCATTTAATCCAATGTCTAAAATGTAGCTGTAGTTTAAAGGACAATTTATGAGGATTTTCACACCTCCGGGCATTCTGGAAGCCACTTTATATGCAGCTAGCTAATATTTTTGCAGTAAAAGAAATATATTAAAAACCCACACTATGCATCTGGAGTTGAAATGAAGTAGGAGACTGGTTTTCACTCCTCCTTAGCTTCACAAAATGATGAAACTAGTATGTGCCGGGCCGTTTTCAAGCAGATCCATAAAGTTTCTGCACATCTTTATTTTCTAGATAGTGCTCTTCAGTGGTAGTATTAATTTCCATCAATAAAGAACATGTGACCTCTTTTATCTGTCTCCCCCCCCCCTCCTGTTTTTGTTGTTAAAAATCTATCCTTTCTAGCAATGCACAATATTACCAGTTTGAGAACTACTGGCTGTGTGTGTGTGTGTGTGTGTGTGTGTATGCTTTTCTAGGAGTGTCTATTTGCGACATTGGTAATTAATTACTGCCACACATTTGCGATGACTTTTGCTATTACACTAATATTGTTATAATTACTCTCTGGGTGCTATATCAGTCCGCACTTCTGCTGTTTGTCAAGGCGCACAGAGGCTTGAAACAGCACTCTTCCCCCATGAAAAATGTTATTAGTTATAACCCATAAATACTGCATCCCAGATAATGTCCCTGTGAATGAGGTCAATCCATCATGTTTCTCATTAGAAGGCAATTTGCTGTTGCCATTAAATTACCCATTACAGTAAGAGCAGAACATTTTGCTACTGTGAGCAACATCACTTTTGGCAGCAGTCCAGCGAGATGTTTAGGAGGACAACGGCTGTTTTTCACAGGCGCTGCAATAAATTTGTGATCCATGTGTTGCCTATGGGCGTATTCGAAAGTTGAAAGCTATGCAAGGGTCTCTCTCTCTCTCTCTCTGTGTGTGTGTGTGTGTGTGTTGGTTTTGTAGTTGCACCCAGCAGCAAAACCAGGATGCTTTGGAAAATTTTGGCTAGGCTGCCATGCACAGCTGTTGGGATACATTTCCCTTGCAAGCCATGCAGGCAATTTCATAATTGTGAACCAGAGATATGGGCTTGAGGCACTTCTGGTTTGCAGCTCCCATCATCCCTGACTATCAGCTGGGGCTAATGCAGAGTTCAAGTCCAATAACATCTGGAAGGCCACAGGTTCGCTATGTCTGACGTAAACCAGCCTTGCAAAAAAAAATTAAAAAATAAAAAGTCCACTAAAGTTAACAAACTACCAACCCCCAACCCACCTCCTGTCATTCCAAAAAGCTGTAAAGGAGCACAAGCCAAGATGCCTTACTCTTTGCACCATTAAGTCAGCACGACTCCATGCACCATGTCCTCTTAGGGCAAGGAAGGGAAGAAGAAGGAATGGAATCTGCATAGGCTGATTCATATGCAGAGCTGCAAATTTAGAATTGGTAACTGCAATTTAAACAGCAAGGCAAGGCAGCTTGGCATTAGGGTTCTTGCAGTTTGCAACAGGATTTGAACGGGACAGAGGACTCCTTTAAAGAGGAGGCTGTTGTCTGAAAAGCAAGACATACACAGCCCTCATATACATCTACTTGACTGCTTTGATCTGGGGAACAGGCGCTGTTTACAGGTGCCGCAGATATGTTCTGCGTTTGTAAGAAACTGACCTATTCATGTTGCAGGCAGTACACCAGTATGGTGTAGTGGTTAAGAGCGGTAGTCTCGTTATCTGGGGAACCGGGTTCGCTTCCCCGCTCCTCCACATGCAGCTGCTGGGTGACCTTGGGCCAGTCACACTTCTCTGAAGTCTCTCAGCCCCACTCACCTCACAGAGTGTTTGTTGTGGGGGAGGAAGGGAAAGGAGAATGTTAGCCGCTCTGAGACTCCTTAAAAGGGAGTGAAAGGCGGGATATCAAATCCAAACTCTTCTTCTTCTTCACATGAACACTGGAACTGCCTGCCTATTGACACCTTTGCTCTTCAGTTCCTGCTAAAGGCAGTTTTCTTCAGGCAAGCCTATCCAGGCATGTGGATGAAAGCCTGCGTGCGTTTTAATCTGTTTTTATCTTAACTGTTAGTTTTAATTCTATTTTGAGTTTGTTAAATACTTGTTTGTAATTTGTCCTTTTATTCTTTTCTCTTTTTGGTAGGTTGTATTTGCAAACAAACGGTATGGTACATGCATCTTGTCTAATAAATAAAACCATACAGTTGTTGCCCCAGGCTTGGACCCTTAAACTGAGCAAGTTGTCTGTGAGTGAAAGAGTTAAACAGACTCCCCTCCCTTGTTTCAGCCTCTCTGTATCCCGACCCTGCTGTCTGTCTCAGATCACATTCATCTCCCTCTGGCACTCTGATTCCTTGCTGACTTGCTCCGGATCCTGACCGCCAGCCAGATTATACCACACTGACACTGAATCCTATGCACCCCAACAGGAGTTTAGCACAGCTAAAGGTGCCCCTTTGTTTGAACCTCACAACAACCCTGTAGATCAGGTTGAGAGACTGGAACTAGCCTAAGGTCACCCAGTGAGTTTCATGGCCAAGCAGGGATTTCAATCCAGCTCTCCCTGTTCCAACACAGGCTTTCAGTAGCTGATCCCCCTTATATATAACACTAGTGATCTGTGGTGCACTGAAGGTCCTGGGGGGGGGGAACCACATGCAAGAATCCACTGTTTCCCAGTACAGTGGTACCTCAGGTTAAGAACTTAATTCGTTCTGGAGGTCTGTTCTTAACCTGAAACTGTTCTTAACCTGAGGTACCACTATAGGTAATGGGGCCTCCCGCTGCCACCGCACGATTTCTGTTCTCATCCTGAAGCAAAGTTCTTAACCCGAGGTACTATTTCTGGGTTAGCGGAGTCTGTAACCTGAAGCATCTGTAACCTGAAGCGTCTATAACCCGAGGTACCACTGTATACCAAAGGGTGTGTGTGTGTAATCTTCCTGGTCTGGTTTCCTGGTGAAGTTTCTTCCTTGCCCCAGGCGAACAGGCACGAGGCCATCTCTGGAAAACAGACACATACCTTTCTCAGCAACACCATATCCCGGCGGACATGCTGTGTGCTTCAAGCAGAATTCCAGTTCGAGGTACCGCCCTTCGATGCACTCGCAAACACGGTTCTGGGTGCTGCTGCATTCGACTTTCTCGTATTGCAGCTCCTTGCACATCACGTTGCAGTACTGGCACTCATCGTTGTTGTTCCATTCGTCTGCGTAGAACTGACTTGGGCAAGGGGCACACTCGGTCTTTGACGAAGCCGTGCAATGCTTCTCGACATATGTTCCGGGGGGACACTGGTCACACAATATCTGACGGGAGGTTTCCGAGTTGTAATGGAGGTACTTTGGGGGAAGGTCCTCCTGGACAGTCCATTTCACAGATATGTCCAACAGCTAGCAGAAGAGACACAACACAGTGTTTTAGGTTACGTGGCTGGCAACACACTGGTGGTATCGCTGTTGCTATTTACATTTCTCAGAGGCATTGCCCTTAAAGCCGGTAACAAACTGGTATCAAGAGACAGGGGACACCACTAAAAAGGCCCTGCCCCTTGTTGCCACCCTCCAAACACCCCTCAGAGAGGGAACTTGGAGAGGGTCCCATTGTTTGGAGGGCAGATGTAGGGCATTTTGAATGATGCAGCTTTATTTGTGTGTGTTTGTGTGTGCCATCTGGAAAACAGCCAAACAGTGAAGGACGTGCAACAAGGCAGAGATTCATGAGGGACAGGAAGGGGGCATCTTAGTAATGCTCATATACAGTACAGAATCCTTCACATAACCTTCATCTTCCTTTCTTAACATTAATGATTAAATAATTTTCTGCCATAGCAACTCATATAACTTATAGCACTGTTACATGGCCTGTAGTACCCTTAACAAACATTATGATGTTGTTGCAAAGTTCTGGTTAAAAAACCTACAGTTTTCATGTTTTCAAAAATATCTCAGGATCAATAGGGGGTTTATTGTCCCCCGCCCTGAGAAAAGGATTTTGAAAGGGAAATGACATTATATTGATTTCCTTTTCTATTGGATCTTTCACACCGTTCTCCAAACGGAAGTCAAATGACATTTGAGCTCCACCCACTCGTGTGAAATAAACGTTGATTTGGATGACAATTGCAAAGACAGCCAAAACTCCTACAGGCATCTTTCCCTTCAATCACAGCCTTGTGAAAGTAAAGAAACTAGTTTTTCAGCATACAAAAACATTATTATATGTCTTGGCTTTGGGGTTTTACGCAGACCGCAGAAGAATGTTTGGATTTACTGAAAGAAACAAATAAAGCAGCCTCTGTTTTGCATCACAAACACATCCTGGTGTCTCCTTTGCCTTTCAAAAGGACTGTCAAAGTCTGGATGGGATCCAAAGTCAAATCCCTAAACTGTACTTTTCAGATTTTTCACTGGTCTGATGCAGTCGAAATATATATAAAAAATTAAAAATTGTCCAGTGGCACCTTAGAGACCAACTAAGTTGTTCTTGGTATAAGCTTTCGTGTGCAAGAAGTGTGCATGCACACGAAACCTTATACCAAGAACAATCTTAGTTGGTCTCTAAGGTTTTCCCAGCAGTGATGCATGGAAGTGAGATCTGGACTATAAAGAAGGCTGATGGCAAGAAGAATTGATACTTTTGACTTATGGTGCTGGAGGAGACTCTTGAGAGTCCCATAGGCTGCAAGAAGATCAAACCTATCCATTCCGAAGGAAATCAGCCCTGAGTGCTCACTGGAAGGACAGATCCTGAAGCTGAGGCTCCAATACTTTGGCCACCTCATGAGAAGAGAAGACTCCTTGGAAAAGATGTTGGGGAAAATTGAGGGCACAAGGAGAAGGGGATGACAGAGGACAAGATGGTTAGACAGTGTTCTTGAAGCTACCAGCATGAGTTTGACCAAACTGTGGGAGGCAGTGGAGGACAGGAGTGCCTGGCGTGCTCTGGTCCATGGGGTCACGAAGAGTCGGACACAGCTAAACGACTAAACAACAACAAGGTGCCACTGGACATTTTTTTTTTAAATATTTCATCTTGCTATTCACTGCTCTACATAATACAAGTGCAAATGGGGCCAAGATCCATTGGGCCACCAATGTTTTTCCAGCAACGGGTGACTAGTGAGATCTCAGAAGCAGGACATACAGGGCCATAGTCCTTGCCCCTGTTTGTTTGTATCCAGGATCTAGTTTTCTGATATCTGTGGCTTCTAAACCTGGATCTATTTTTCACCTGGGTTTTTGCCTTCCCCTTTCCATGCCAGCATGTTACCGAAAACCCACGAGGGGACAGAAGCCCACCCAAAACCAGTGACCCACTGGCTCCTTGCTGGAAAGTGACATTTCCCCCTTCTCTGAGGGTTTACGTCTTTCTTGGGGGTTTTATGCCATTTTCCCGCCACCTTTTCCCTACGCAAGTCAACGTATTTATCTGAGGGAGAAAATGCTGTGTACTTGAAAACCTGTTGTGGGGAATCTAATCCCCACCAAAGACCCTTGGGGTAACATGTTTCTTGTTGGGAGATGGATACTGTCCTCACTTTTTCTAAGAAACCATGCTCTTTTCTCTCACACACCCTGATTCCTAATGTACCCACCCCAAAACAGTTCTCTTTGAAGAGGAGCCACTGCAGCTGTCAATCTGAAATCTGTCAGGAGTCATCCCCTCAGTCAGAAGAGAGGTCCCTGTGAAAGGGATGCACCCACACACACAATTTATATTGTTTGATCTGCTAACAAGAATTGCCAGTATTTAGAGATGGTTTTCAATCCTAACATCATTCTAATAATGAATTCAGTTTATGCAAACAACTGGGAAGTTGATTTCTGTTCTTCTTCTCATATTGAGTATACTGTTGTTGTTTTTAATGGGGCACAATCCACTGAAAAGTGGGGCTTATACAGGGGAACATACCCAGTGGGCTGAGTCCCATTTTTAAGACGCAGAAAATCCCTTTGTCCTAAGTGTTTCTATGTGATTGGCAATAATAAATCACTGAATACATGATCTACCAAATGCTCACACGAAGCAAAGTTGACAGATAAAAGGAAGCATTCACAGTTATCTGATCAGCTGTTGTTCCACGTTGCACAACTTCTAGGTAACATCAAACATCACTTGGGTTGATTAGTCACCAGGCAAACTATTCTCAGCTATGAGATCACTTTTAAAATATATTTGTAGGGTTGTTATCGGTGCTAATCACACTCAGAGAAGACCCTTGATGTTGATGGACACAATTCACTTAGGTCTATTGATTTCAATGGGTTTACTCAGATTATAACCTACTTGACCACTGCCCATAGATTTTGGATTCTTAGCTTTCCCAGAGTGGGGCATAAATAAATGTCTCCCTAATGTACATCTGAGAGAGGGTAGAGTGGAGAAAAGGGTAAAGGAGATTGCAAAAATAACAGACATTCCAACTGATTGATTTTGGGGCACTCCTGGCAGTGTCGATGTTCAGTGGATCTCCTTATGAATGAAGGAGCTGTCCCATTCTCTTTAACATACATCTCCACACATGCAATGGGAGCCAGTAAGAGACATTTGCCCAGTTGAAGAGAAGAAGAGATTGCATTTGCTATCCAGCTTTATCACTACCCTAAGGAGTCTCAAAGCGGCTAACATTCTCCTTTCCCTTCTTCCCCCACAACAAACACTCTGTGAGGTGAGTGGGGCTGAGAGACTTCAGAGAAGCGTGACTAGCCCAAGGTCACCCAGCAGTTGCATGTGGAGGAGCGGGGAATCAAACCCGGTTCACCAGATTACGAGTCTACCACTCTTAACCACTACACCACACTGGTTGGGCACAGAAGATCCACAAACTGTGACCATTAGCATCAGGAGAACTGGTGGCAGAGCAGAAATTGCAGTGCTTCAGAGATCTTTCTCCATACAATCATTTTATGGGAAGATTCCAGGGATTGTACCTTAAACCTTCTGCTCTGTCTGTCACCAGTACCTGTTCCACATCCAGCTACCGCCCTTAGACCATCAGAGCACCACAATAGATAATCCAGTGCTCTCTGCCTATGTGAGCCCCATATATCCATACATTTGTGCAATATATAAAATTAAACATGGTATCTGACAAACCACTCCAGTCTCACAGATTTGCTCCTATTCTATCCAGCCCTCCTCTCCACAGACTGTCCTGACAATATTAAACAGATTCGTAACATCTGCAGTGGCCTAAGGTTCTCATAGGAGGGTCAGAACTAGGAGATTTAGATGGCACCTATTTCTTGAAAATGCAGCATATGAATTCCTTCCTCTACCCCCACACCCCAGAAGGCAGGAATGCCTCATCCCTTGTTAAAACTTCGCAGCCCACTACGATTTGAAAGCTAGCACGCTTACTGAAAGACCTGAAGAGGAAAAGTCAGCCAGCGGAGAACAGAGAATGATATCAACGCTCTGATCGTGTCAGTTCCAAAGCAATCGTCAGTCTCTGGGCAAGGACTTACCACAAGTGTGCAGCACAGGAACTTGTTCATTGTGGTTGCTTTCAAACCCTCAGGGATCTGGGAAAGCAATCAGGCAGTTAGGGAGCGCTCTGGTCTCGTAGCAGCTTGAAAACACTGGCCCAGCACATTAAAAGCTCGTTTATATATATATCTGCAGCCCCATGCAACAGGAAACCCTCGCTCAGCTTTGAATACTCATTCCCTCCCCATGAGCTATTTCTTTTTGATTTTTTTTAAAAAAGGAACCTGTCGATGATTTCATGCAACTCCTTTCAGCGGTATTTAACCACAAGCTGGGGGGGGGGGAAAGGAGGGAGTGTCAGGATCCGGGCACAGCGATGGGTTAACTAATTACTGTCTGGCTGTCACCGCCTCTGCTGTGTTACTGCCCACCCCTTTTCTGGGCAAAGAGGGGGTGTCCGAAACAGACTCACCTCCAGGACAACAAGGGGCGAGTTATTCACAGCCCGGCTGTTCTAGAAACAAAAGTATAAAAATATCCTGCTGCAACCAGATCATCCTTAAGGTGTCTTCCCTTTTGGGTAGTAAAGTTTTTGGTTTTTTTGCTTCCGATGCCCTGAACTAGAGCTGAAATGAGCAATCCTTCTCACTTTGACATGGTTTTACACTTTATCTCCTGATCCAGTTGACACTGCTATGAAGGTCCATATTTTTATTGATGCATTCAAGACTTTTTTTTCCAATTATGTTTGACCCTGCCATAAACCCTGTAAAGTAGCCCATTCTTAGTCCCACAGTACAGATGGGGAAAGGGGATTAATACAGCTATACTATAGCAGGTTTTCTTTGGAATTAAGTACAGTAGTACCTCGGGTTAAGTACTTAATTCATTCCGGAGGTCTGTTCTTAACCTGAAACTGTTCTTAACTTGAAGCACCACTTTAGCTAATGGGGCCTCCTGCTGCTGCTGTGCCGCCAGAGCACGATTTCTGTTCTTATCCTGAAGCAAAGTTCTTAACCTGAAGCACTATTTCTGGGTTAGCGCAGTGTGTAACCTGAAGCATATGTAACCTGAAGCGTGTGTAACCCGAGGTACCACTGTATTTTTGTTTGGCTCATGTATCTTATTTCTTTGAAATCGTCAGAATAGACGATTCAAAATGATGATGGGTAGGAGCATATCAGGGAAGCTGCCTTATACCGTCAGACCACTGGTCCATGTAGCTTGGTATATCCAACTCTGAATGGCAGCAGCTACTTAAGAGTTTCAGGGAGGGGACAGAGATTAAACTTTCCCTTTAAACCTTTAACACTTTCAGCATATAAAGCAGGTGTTCTACAACTGAGCTATAGTCTTTCTTTCTTCTGCTGAAATTGTCCCCCAGAGCTGATTCAGGATGAATGTCCTATTTTCATCTCCCCCTTGGCCGTGTTTCCCTCCCCACTCACAAGGCTGAGAAATTAAGCTCACAATTTCAGCGAGGGATTAATGTAAATGTTGAGATAAAGGTTGCCTACTGCATTAGATCGGTGTTTAAATTTGTTCCTTCACAAAATAACATAGACACGAACCAACTGTGGAAGATGGAAACTGTTTGAAAGTGAATCTACAGACCTCCTCCAAACAAATGTACAGTTATCTGTCCCATGATGTGGTTCGGGAGTTAGTGGGTTTGGGGAAAGTTCAATCTGAACTGGAGAAAAGCACGTATTGGCTAGTGCGTATGTTAATACCAACACTCCTCTACACAGCGAAGCCTCAGAGCAGTTTTGCAAGTGTTTCAAAAACGTAAATGCATGTTTTGTTTGGGGTTTTTTTTTTTTAAAAGGTGGATAAGCAAATATGCACAAAGAAATGTGTTACTTAAGAAAGAACTTGCGGACAGCTCTCTCAATGCAGAAAGGCTAACACACCACTTCAGTATGGGAAGAAACTTGCCAATTCATCTTTCATCTTGCTACTATGACTGCAAGCACAGGTTGAAGTAAAATGAACTCACTTTGACCACAAGGCTTCACAACAAGTCAGGCAGTGGGGGGGGGAGAGGGGGGAGAGGTATTCCTCAGACTCTCTGTCACTGATTATTTATAACTCAGAAATTCTTCTCCTGCCCCCCCCCCTGCTCTGAGTTGGTTCAAATGACCATTCACAAAAGGCAGTTGATTCATATGGCTACCTTTACTCCAGCCTTGCTTTTTTTAAAAAACAACAACATTTTTTATTAGGAAATTCAACAAGACACTTTATCAAAAAACATATCATCCTTAATCCCCCCCCATTTCCCCCCTTGCCCCTCCCGATAAAGCACCCCCCCCCCAGACTTCCCTCAGCTCCTCTCTCTGGTTTATCAACAACTGTTATTCTCGGCATGTTACAAAATTATATATGGATGGATCCCGCTTGCTGTCTTGGCTTCTTTGCTCTTTGGGGCTGGGGAGGGGGAAATATCCCCCCCCCTTTATTTCGCCCCCTAAAAGCTAGGTGCGCCCTATGGTCCGGTGCGCCCTATGGAGCGAAAAATACGGTACTTTGTAAAAGCTTGCCATTCTTCCTTAAAATCACAGTTGTCCTTATCACGTAGTTTATGTGTCAGTTTCGCCAATTCCGCATGGTCCATCAGTTTCTCTTGCCACAGTTCTTTGGTCGGGGTTTCTTCATTCTTCCATCCCTGTGCTATTAGGACTCTTGCCACCGTTGTCACATACATGAAAATGTTTTTCAGTTTCCTTGCTAATAAGGTGGAACAACACATTGCTTGTAGGCCTGTGATTCTTTAAAGGGGCTGTTTTCTTTCTTCTTCTTTTTTTTGCAATATGCAGCTATTGAGGCTACAATTTGAAAGGGATCTCTAGTGTGAGGTGTGTGTGTGTGTGTTTGTTTGTGTGTGCATGTGTGTGTGGGGGGGGAATGCCTTCTCTACTCTCACCTCTTGCACAATTTTCCTGCCGAATATCCTCCTCCTGCTGTTTTTACTCCCCAGCCCCATAAGAGGGTGGGTGGGGGAATATACAGGATCCCATATCCATTCCTCACTGGATTGGCGTGGTTGTGGGGGCAGCTTGGAAGGATTTTCCTTGGGGAAACAACCTGAGGGGAAAGGTTACAAAACCTCTCCTTCCTGCCCTCTCCTTCCAAACTCCTTCTACGGGCTGCATTTCCAGAAAACAACAAGGACGCCTAAAAAGAATCACCAAGCTACACAGAACATGCAGTTCCGTCCTAAGACTTCAAACGTCATTGCTAGCTCACCTGACCACATATACCTAGGTTAGTCATTTGTGGCTAACGGATGAAAGGGAAAAAATAAGTAACTTTCTTCCAGTTTACAAAAGTGTCTTGTCTGGCTTCTCAGAGGCAGTTCATATTTCCCATGATCAACCTGGTGTGCAGCTATTGACAACTCTGCTTATTATTATTATTATCATCATCATATCTAACCCGGATCTCTCTTTCCTTGGAAGATCACTAGCACTCACACTTGCTTCCGTCAGGAAACTTGGTTTTGGGATTCGCCCCAGTTTAATGCTTTGAATTTGCTTTGACTTTCAGCTTTGATTCATTCACTTCTGTTAAAATCAAAGCAGGGCATTTTTTTCGCTGCTCTCTGGTCCCAACGGCAAACACCTGACCACAACCGCAGGTTCCGTAAACATCTTACATAAATCCCCGGATTCATAAACACCGATTCGCAAATAATGAAGCGACAGTAGTTTCTGCAACATAAAGTTTTGACAGGGAAATGCTCTTCCCCCTTGCCTCGCCAAACTTAGCCCCCTTCCATCCAAACTGACCGAAGGAGGGCAAGTCTCAGGAGGATGAGGGCAAAGAGGAGAAATATCATATCACCACATGTGGCCATGGCTATCCCAGGTGACGCAAAGGTAGGGATGGAGGGCGCAGTTTGGCTCAGTTAATATTTTAAAGGTGAACTACCTAATTTGCACTCTCTGAAACACTGCATGAACCAAAATACAGCCATCCTTTGACATCCACATGCAAAATTTTGAATTTTGCAACGTTGTTCTCCAGCAAAATAATGTGTTCAGAAATGCGTGTACTAGGTACAGTGGTACCTCGGATTAAGTACTTAATTCGTTCCGGAGGTCGGTACTTAACCTGAAACTGTTCTTAACCTGAAGCACCACTTTAGCTAATGGGGCCTCCCGCTGCTGCCGTGCCGCTGGAGCACGATTTCTGTTCTCATCCTGAAGCAAAGTTCTTAACCTGAGGTAATATTTCTGGGTTAGCGGAGTCTGTAACCTGAAGTGTATGTAACCTGAAGCGTATGTAACCTGAGGCACCTCTGTATTCATATAAATGCATATACTTGTGAAAAGAACATAAAAATGTGTTATGTTTGTGCATACAGTCATACCTCTGGTTATGTCCACTTCATGTTACGTTCTTTCAGGTTACGTCCCGCGGCAACCCAGAAGTACTGGAAAGGGTTACTTCTGGGTTTTGCTGCTTGTTTATGCGCAGAAGCGCAAAATGATATCATGCGCACGGGCAGATGCGCAAAATGACATCACGTGCATGCGCAGAAGCGGCGAATCGTGACCCTCCCGTGCGCAGACATGCCACTGCGGGTTGCGCTCTTTTCATGTTGCAAACGGGCCTCCGGAACATATCCTGTTCGCAACCAGAGGTACCACTGTATTTGGCAAAACTGTATGCAAAAATACGTATATTAGTAGAAATTTGAACTGAAATATGAATGAGGACTCCCACCCCCAACTAATATGCAGATTAATTCTGCAATCCTAATGCTGCCACTGGTAGGAAATCCAAAGCCTACATGAGCAAAAAGGCTGTCAATGGCTACCAGCCATGATGGCTACGCTCTGCCTCTATGGTCAGTTATGCTTCTGAATACTAGTTGCTGGAAACCACAGGAGGGGAAAGGTTTCTTGTGCTTGGGTGTCAGGGCTTGTTCAGCTGCAGGTCAACAGCTCAGAGATTGGCAATAAAGTTGATACAATACAAACAGAGAAACCTGCCAGAACTGATGATCGAGGCCTCCCACTTCCCCCCAATTCTCTTTCCCATCCGGCTGTTTCCCATGCAGTGTTAAACCCCCCCCCCACTTAGGGGG